AGCAGAGCTCTCTACCACCAAAGTCAGGTGGCGATGGCGGGGCTCGAACCTCGGACAAGAGGGTCTAAAGCACGCCGGTGACGGCAACTAAACCACTGCGTCATCACCAACCTGACATGACCATACATAAGCTCCTGTTGCGCTAAAGCACGGAGAAAAGAAACTAGGGGGTACATTGAATAAGAGGTTCCTCTTTTTTACTATAGTCAAAAAAATTGGGGATAAAAAGGAGGAGAGATCTAGAATAAACCATACTCACCGTGTCCAAGTTCTCTGAGGATGAATCTCCTTGACCTCCATTTTGATCTCCCATCACATGATAGTCTGATTGATCGACATCCGACGGGATGGAGACTTCCACATCTCCACTCTCCCACGAGGTTCCATGAGGTAATAAACGTGTGGTTATACTGTTCTCATCGTGTGTGGTGGTATGTGGAACTGCTCCATCGGTTGTATATAGTGCGGAACTAGTGTGCTCACCCGGGAACGAGTTTGTATCTCTCTGATTCACCTCACCAGACAATGGAGTTGTCACCTCAGTTACGGGACGTCGAAAACCGGGAAGTTTGGGGAATGTGATCGTGAACGAGGAGTGCATTTTCGCAGCAGGCTGACGCACGGATGACGGACTGGTTGGATCACTCAAACGAGTATCTAACTCATTCAATCCGTGTCCGTTGACTGGTGTGATGAGAGGACAGGAAGCTGGGCGTTCGGAATTTCGAACCAAGGAGTTGAGCACATAGTTAGGTAGTGTGGGGCGATAATTTTGAGACGAGGTAGTAGTCGCAGGTGAAGTAGCACTGTCTGTGCCAGATTCAGACGGAGGGATAGGTTTTTGTGGGAATCGATCCAGTGTGATGGGCATTTCAATTTTGTGCGTATGCACACTGGTTACAATATTGTTATTGGTGGTCTTTATCTCATGACCTTGTTTGGATGAAAACAGTTTCAACTTTCGACTGCGCGCTTTCTTCCCGGATCCGTCCACATGGCTAGGAGAGGTGGACTGATCTCCATTCTCTGACTCCACCACAACAACCCGGTGTGAATCTGCTATGGACCGAGAATATGGAGCATGAAACTGAGTTTGTTTTCCATCGCGGCTGATTGTGGCCGCACGCTCGGGGAAGCAACAAAGTAGTCGACGCCAACGTGATGAAGAGGAACCAGAACGATGAGAATCGGATAAACCGCGAAAAACTTCTGACTTTTGTTTACATAAATCCAGTTCTGGAATGCGAAATTAAAATTGTAGAGATAGTCAAGGTAACGAAAATCGAAGAAAACATTGTTGCATATTTCACAATTGTCTGAGTTCAGACTGTCAAACAAATCATGGTACAAATCTCCATAACAAAGAAATCAATCCATGATTTCCTTTCGGATGGAATACTATCAAGTTACACGAGCCAAAGTACGTAAGTATTTGGGGGGGGGGG